TTGTCTCGTCTACACTGTATACACATAGGATGTTTCTTTTAGGCTAACTTGTAAAATTATTTTTATTATTATTATAAATAACATGTAGAATGTTGCATTGCCCAAGCATTCTATAGCTTTTATTAACATTTATGGATAATAATGCCGAAAAGTTTGCGAAGAACTCTACACATTTTACATATATTAACATTGTGGGAGCTTTTTATTCAATGATCTTTTTAACAAACAAAATAGAAATTGATAATTTTACTCATTTTAAACTAAATATTTTTCTATGACAACTAAAATCGATCGAACGCTTTCCTTTTTACGAGCTAATGCTAAACATAGACAAAAAATTGATCCAAACCGAATATAATTTTTCTAAATAATAAATGCGAATAAAACTTAAGTTACAGCTATGTTGGCTCAAGACTAGCTTTCCAACCATCATTCAGTTTTATATGGTCAAGTCCGGCCCTCTTTGTTGCTAACAACTGCTGTACTTCAAATGCGTTATCGTTATTAGAAAACGTATGCGAATATTCATCGCATTGTCGGTAGAATTGCGCCAACATTTTCTCATGTAATAGGTACTCAGCAAGTTTCAATTGCATTAAAGCTTTTTTAGCAACTGCGGAGCGCCATTCCTTAGTTAAGTGATGCTGAACTGGTTGAGGGGATTTTTTTTTACATCCCCCGGACTCGAAATACGTTAGTGGCACATTTAGTGTCTCTTGTACTATCTCTTCAAAGCTTTCCGGTGTCTTTTTACCTGTTGTTAAACAGTAGGCAACAAAAGTATCAAAAACTCCTGCCAATTTAAACTGTTTAAAATTTTCTAATTGCTTGTGACTATTGTGCAAAGCTTTACGTGGCCATTCTGATTCCAAAGTCGAAGCAAAATCGCAGAAAGCGTTCTCTCTAATTGGAATATCAAAAATGTACACATTTCTTGAAGTGGCGACAACCAAAATTGGCGCTTTGCGATTTCCAATTGCAAGTTGAGGTACAATGACAACTCCTACCATCGATTGATGTTTAATATCAACTAAAGCTTTATGATATTTCTGATCAGCTTGCGTAATATATAACGGATCACGCAATTGTGTGTGCGATAGTTTCAATCCGGCACGATGGGTATCAAGAACTGAATTAACAGCCGCGTCGTTACTAATAGGTTCCATCGATTTGTGGGCGTTATCTTCAACTTCAGTTTTACTCGAATTACCTGTTCCGATATTTTCGCTATTAACTTTGGCGTCATCGGACCCTTTCTTAATTATAATTTGAATGTCAATCATTTCATCATAAAACAGTCTTTGTGGAGTATTATAAGTAAAATTTCTCTTTATATCTCGAACATTTTCTAGTTGAAGACATAACCGTTTCTCGTCCATACTTTTCAACTTGCCCTCTAAAATCTCATTATTAGTTTCTATGCGAAGCATTTGCCCCTTTTGCAATAAATGCAATTTTTTCATGGATGAACACATTTTATGCCGGCCTTTGTCCTCGCAAATATATCAGCAAAACGTGACGGCGTAGTGTTTTTACGGAAAATGTTTACGAAAATACGAAACATTTGCGCCCGCTTGCCACCTTTTCCAAACGACTAAATATAATAAAAAATAAAACAAAGCACAGCATATTATGGGGGCTGAGACAATGAGGATAAAAACTCCCAAGTCAGCCGCGCTACCATATTGTTTTACAGGAAAATGTAAACATAACCATATGGTTTTAGAACCAAATATAAAGAAATTAACGTAAACGTAAACAACAAATTCATAAATTAACAATCATAATTTTTTCAATCTTCATAATGTGCTTAAATTTAATGTTATAATCGAGAGCCTTTTTTTTTGTAAATGTAACTGTAACTTGGAAATTACCCTTTATAACTTTCTAATAGAACAATTTCAACGTTAAGATAAATGTTCTTTTTCGATTATTCTCCATTTCTTATAAAAGAAATGGTATAAATCAAAATTGCAAATCACATAATATAAAAAAAATGTGTATTAATGTAAGATTTACACAAATTAAATAAATAAATTTAATATTTAAAATTCTTTTTTGCGGTAATTGTATGTATACATGCAAAACAATATGATTTATCATTTCCAATAAAGTTTTGTAAAAAATTGGCAAAGTTGAACTCGAAAATAGGAACAACCCCTCATTGTATCAGCCCAATATCGTATCTACTTTCCTTCGGAAGAGTAATATAACTAAAATATAAAAAAATAAATACGTTTTCTATGCATGTTTTCTGATCACTTTGTTGTGCCTAAAAAGTAGAAGTGGCCATGAAAATCTTCTATAATTTATAATTTATGATATATTATTTATGATTGCGTCTACATCCTTGTCTCGGTCTTATACTATACAACATGGTTATCCCGCATATCGACATTGATATTTATTTATTTATTTATTTATTTATTTATTTATTTATTCCACTTATACAAGAAACTCAACTAAAACAAAATGGCAGTCGAGTTCAATTGACTCTTAAGTAAATCTTAAAATTATTTAATAATAAAACTTAGTATAAGTACAATAAAACAAATAAGGAGGAAAAAAAAAAAAAAAAAAGCATGTACACAATTAGCATAGAGCATAGC